AGCTATGGTGTAGGTAGGAGTGGGGCTGAGGAAGGGGTGAGGAGAAGTTGAGGAACATCAGACTCCCAACCTCTGGCCCCGCTGCCTTAACCTGCGATCAAAGTTTCATGTTTAGCCACTTCCTGTATAAGGGTTGGCTTTCAAAAGGTGTCCTGCCACTTAAGATAAGTTTGAATAGTAGGAATCACCAACCTGACATTCTTGTACCTAAGAGTGGAGGAAAATGAGCACCAGAGAAGTTGAGCAACCTATCCAGAGAGGCTTAGCAAAATAGCAATGAATACATTAAAAAGATAATGTATTGGCACAAATTGGAGGTTCTGAAGGCAGACGAAATAGGGGCTCAAATCCCAGCTCTGCCAATTGCTAGCAGTGCTCTTGGGCAGAGTTTGCTCTTGACAAACCAGGCCTGGTTTGCTACCACCAAGTGCTCTATGTGGGAAGTTAATGCCTTGAGTTATTTCTTTGATGGAAGAACTCAGTAACTGAGTCATCTTTCCGTCCCCTCTTCACCCCTAATCACAAGTCCCAATGGCACAGGGCACCGAAACATCTGTTGACTTGCCCAGTTGTGGTGCCTACATCAGGGGTTATCTGTACAGTTTGGATTCTTTTTTGTTTGTTTTTGAGACAGTGTCCCCCTTCAGGCTGGCCTTGAACTCACTGTGTAGCCCAGGCTGAGCTCAAATTCAAGGCAATCCTCCTGCCTCAGTCTCCTGAGTGCTGGGATTACAGGTGTGTGCCACCACGCTTGGCTTGGTTTGGATCTTGAATGTCTCCCAAAGGCCCATGGATTTAAAGCTTAGGGCCCAGCCTGTGTTGCCACTTGGAACTGGTGGAACCTTTAGGAGGCAGAGGCTAGTGGAAGGAAGTGACATCACTGGGCGTGCACCTGGAGAGGCTATTGGGAGCTTAGACCTCCTTTCCCTCTCTGTTTTTGCTTCCTGGCTGTCCTGAGGTAGGCCACTCCCTCAGCCATGCGCTTCTACCGTGATGTACAGTCTCGCCACAGACCCAAATGCAACAGGGCCAACCAACCACGAGTTGAAACTTCTACAGCTATGAGCTCAAATAACCCTTTCCTCAGCCAAGTGTGGTGGTGAACACCTGTAATCCCAGCATTTAGGGAGGCTGAGGCAGGAGGATAGCAAGTTTGAGGCCAGCCTGGGCAACTTAGTGAGATCCTGTCTCAAAGTAAAAAAAAAAAAAAAAAAAATTCAGAAAGGGCCAGGGATGTAGCTCAGTGGTAGAGTACTGCTGGGTTTGATCTTCAGTAATGAAAAACAAAAACAAAAAACTCCAAATCCGAGACCTTTCCTTCTTTTCAGTTTATCTTAGAGAAACGGAGAGCTGACTAACACAGTGCCCCAGAACTGCCCTCTCAAGGAATAATTTGCAATGATCTATCTGGCAATCTCTTCCAGAATCTGCATCCTGTGGAGGAGTCTGTATTCATGGATAGGAAAAAAAAGACTCGTATGACCCTTAGTAGCTGGGTGGCCTCCTTTCATATCTGCAGGCTCTGGTGTCCTTTCCTTTAGAGAGTGGCACTGGAGTTTTCTGATCCCCACAGAGCCCTGCAGCTTAGAGATAGCAAGCTCCCATGACCCTGGGCACCAGGAAACATGACCTCTGTCCTTGGCACCTGGACATTTCCCCAAGAAATCTTAGTTCTGAGCACAGACTCATGAATCAGAAGTAACCGACTGAGTCTCCTGTGCCTCCCTGGGTGAATGATGAAACTCTGGGAAATTGGCCTGTGATGCTCTGACCTTAGGGCCTTCACAGCTCTGCCCCAGGGATGGTCCTTACTGAGTGGGAGAGCATGAGGTGGGGCCAGTGTCTGCAGGAAGGACAGAGCATGAGCCCGTGATTGCAGACAACATCTAAAGGAGAGGCCTGGCCTCCCGTGGGCACCAAGACTGCCTGCAGTGGTGAGTGTGGGCATTGTTGGGGGTAGCAGTGTGGCTGGAATGGCACATAGAGCTGCAGACTTGGTTGAGTCAGATTCCAGAGCACCCATGGAGCCCTGTTTACTAGTGGGCAGAGGACTGGCTGCTACAGGTGAAACACATTTTTGCTTCCTCCTCTCTGAAACCTGCACAGTAAAAGACTTTTTCATGTTACGGGGGAGGCCTAGCCTTCTCTGTCCCTCTGCCCCTTTCCTTGAATCATATATGCTTTGGTGCCCTCACTTGGCCCAGGCCTTTCAGATTGTTAGGTGGCGTGGTCAATGTTCCACCCCGAGGTTCCTTCTAGAAAATGCATGTGCACGGTGACAACTTCCTGCATTCCTCTGGGGACAATGTAGGCCAGGGGCATGAGAGGTTAATACCCCAAGGGTGACCCTCAACCAACAAGGGATGAGGAGGTGGATAAATCCCTGGGCTCTTTGGACACCATGAGGGGTAATTCTGAGCTTTATTCTACACAGATAGAAGTACATCCTTAGACAACCTTCACTGGAAAAGTCAGGGTGATTTTACTTCCATTCTATTGATGAAAAACTAAGCCCTGGAGAGGTAGTGACTTTTTCCAAAGTAAATTCATCATTGCAACATTGGACCTCTGACTCCCAATCCCTTTTTTTTCCTCAGCAGGATGGCCAGGTGCCTCCTAGGCGTCTGTCTGACCTTAGGAAGAATACAGGGTTACACTGACAAAGACCAGTGAAGAAACAAATCTTTTGCTATCTTTAGTCTCAAGAGCAGCTGGGATTTGTTTAGGAAACTGCCCTTTGATGAGAACTTTTGATATCTGAATGGGTAATGAGAGTAGGGAGGAGTTTTTAGCCCTTTGGCCGAGATGATATGGAAGTTTAACCAGCACCCTGCTGAACCCAGGGCCTCGACCTCCAAGAAAAGTCATAGAATCACAGAACACCAGATGTGAAAGGCAGCTGCGATCACCCGGCTAATCTAAGTGTTTCTTTTACAAATGTGGAAACTGAGGTCTAAAGAGGAGAAAACCTGGCTGGTAATACACAGGTCAGGATCTGAGAGAAGTAAAGGGAATAGAGGTGATCAGAGTCAGGTGGTGCTAAAGAGAGGAACCCAGGAGAACTCACTAGGTCAGAAAGCGCAGATTGCCACTGATGGTCATCAATGCTTAGGGCTACCTCAAATACAGAACTGAGGCTGTTTGTGAGCCTCTTTCTGGCTTTAAATTTTGAGATCATTAGTTCAGGAATTGATTAGTGAGGTCTGCCTTGGCTTATGAAATGGGACATTTTCCTACCATGAAGGTAAGAGCAAGAACCAGGGAGGCTGGAGCCATGGTTAAGAGTGGGAAATGCCTGTGAGTTAGAACGTACAGGCTAAAACTTGAGACAGTGAAGATTGGTCACCAGTGAAAAAACCAGTGCCTAGTGTGGTGTTTAGGTCACTTAGCAATCCTAACCTTCCTTTGCTTTTAACCTTGTCTCTCAGGATCCTATGATACTGCTCTGGAATCTCTATAACCCCATAGCTTGTGGATATACTTTATTTTACACAGTGGACACTTAAAAGTTTTGCATCCCACTATACAGTTCGCCCTTAGTCTCACTGTAAAAAGATTGATTAATTTTACTTAAGCCTCAGTTTCCCTACTTGAAAACAAAGACACTGGACCAAGTCAGAATTTCTCATCAAATAGCCAGAGAAACAATAGTTCTGTAAGATGTAACAGCTATCATCTGGAGTACAATAGATTTCAATGATGAGTTTATTTGGGAATATTGCTGGATTAAAGAGCAATTTTTAACCACAGGACTTCTCGGGTCATTTAATATAAAAAAAATTCACCTTTCTTTTGGTAGTTTTTTGAGACAGGGTCTCCCTATGAGTCCAGGTTGGCCTTGAACTCACAAAGTAGCCCAAGCTGGCCTCAAACTTGTGGTGATCCACCTCCCTCAGCCTCCCAGGTGATAGGATTACAGGCTTGCACCACTATACGGTGCACAAAAATTCATTCACCCTAAAGTGACTCAACTAAGGAGTTTCTTCAAAACAGCAAACACACTTTGAAGGATAGAATCTAAGGGGGGTTCAGCTTCAAAGTGCTATAATTCTTTATCAGTTTTCCCTGGAGAGTAGAGATATAAAGTGAAGTATAATCGATGATTGGCTCAATTTAGTTCTCTCCTGGAGACATGATATGCTGATTGGTCTGTAACAACTGTGCTCAACTAGCTCAAAGCAAGTGGCAATAATGGGGTCATTTTTAGAGTAGAGCATTAGAGGATACATCAATGGGATTGAAAAACAGTTGAAACAAGTTGTTGCTTAAGACCACACTAGATCGTTCAGTTATTTTAATGACATGATTGGTGATCAAACCAATTGACAGCAAAATGGTGTTAGTTTGGGTGTTTTTCTTGTAGGGGGCATAATCTTGGTTGGGATAGCTGCTATGAAGAAGGCTTTTCACTTGAAACTCTTGAGTAGCAAAATCCCACTCAGCATCTCCAGATGTGGTGGTGGGGTGGAGGAGGTTGGGGAGGTTAGTTTTTCAGCACAGCATGGAGCAAAGCTGTCATGATCTCATGTTCATTGTGCAATGTGTGGCGAAGCTCCAAGTGCCTGAACCATCAAGGCTCTCCACACTGGGGGAATGTCTACTCCATGCCATGTGTGCTGGTGTGACTGTCTTGGGATAGATTCTCCTTCAAGTGTCTTCTTCCTTTATTCAAAAGAAGCCACACATGCTTAATCTACCTTTTTTCAAATCTGAGCATGAATAATACCAGTAGTTTTCACCAAAGAAAAATCAGTTTTAAGGTTAGCATTTGATATACAAGGATGGAAAGTGCAGTAGCATCATCAAATGCATCTATGAATTTAAAGCCAATGTCCTGCAGCTTTACTCACCATAGCTAAGACATGGAACCAACGTAGGAGTCCATCACTGGGTGAATGGATAAAGAAGAGCATGTGGTGTGTATGCAAAATGGATGGAATTGAAGACATTATATTAAGCAAAATAAACCAGACACAGGAAGCCAAATATGGCATGCTCTCTCTCACAGGTGGAAGCTAAGTAAAAATTGGTTTGAGTGTAGAATAGTGATTATCAGGAACTGGGAAGGGTGGAGAGCAGAGGGATATAAGGAGATTGGATAATGGATACCAAAACAAAGATAAAAGGAATAAGTTCTGGTGTTCCTCAGCACAACTGGGTGATTATAATTCATAATAAACGATTATATATTTTATGAAGATCTAGAAGGGAGGAGCTTGAGGTCTCCAAACATAAAGAAATGATAAGGAGACAGAAATGTTCATTATCTTAATTTGATCAGCTCATGATGTATGCATATGTTGAAATATTAAACTGTGCCCTATTTATATGTACAATTATTGCATATCAATAAAAATTAAAAATAAATTTCCATGCTTGGCCCCAACCCTGGAGATTCTGATGAAATAAAATGTGTGCAGACATCTGGATTTAAAAAGGCTCTACAGATACCATTCACATGTCCATCAATAAGAGTTTAGAATACACAACATGTAGTTTATCCATACAATTGAAAGCTAACAACTTAGCAATTAAAAGTAAAAAGCTGTCAATTCATGAAACAGCATGAATGAAGCTTCCAGACATCAAGTGAAAAAAAGTGGTCATCAAAGAACACACAGTGTCAAATTTTTATGAAGTTCAAAAGAACACAAAAGTGTTACATAGTGTTAGAAATCAAAATTATAGCTTCTACTGAGTGGGAGTAGGAAAATTGACAGAGGGGCACAGGGACATTTTTTGGGGGTAACGAAAATACTTATCCTTTTTAGGTGATAGTCCATGTAGATGCACATGATTTCAAAACTTAACAAAATGAATCCTTTTTCTTATTAAATACCTTTTCCCTCAGTGCTGAGGAGCAAACCCAGGGCCTCACTAGAGTACACTAGGCAAGGAAGTACTCTACCACTGAGCTACATCCAGCCCAAGAAACTGAATCCTTATGTGACATGCATGTTAATGTGTATGATCTATACCTTATTTATTTATTGGGAGAGTGTCTCACTATGTTGCTCAGGCTGGTCTTGAACTCCTAAGGTCAAATGCTTCGAGAAGCCAGGAGCACAGGTGTGAGCCACCATGCCCCGATGCTGATTTATACTTCATTTAAATAAAACAGCTTAACTTCCCCAGATTAGAGTCCTGCTTCTGTACCCCAAGCTTGGTGGTCTCCACATGATGGAGGGGCCTAACCCAGCTCAGCCCAGCCACAGTCTCAAGAATGGAAGATTTCTGCTTACTCTGCCCTGTCTCACAGTCTCCCATTTTCATTTGTCTTCCAGAATTCCTCCCAGCCTTTTTCTGTCTTTTGGGTACTAAAACCCCAGGGAACTCAACACACCACAACCAGCTCAATAGTGAATTTGTAAGTCTCTAGAACAGCGTCCCTTTCTTCTCTGGGTGTCAGCAGCCATACCCACATTCCTTCAAGGAGCATCCTCTCTTCTAGGTTGCTTTAGAGGCACCTCATGTTTGAGATCTTACTATGTGCCACACCATGCTGACTCTTTCACCAAGGTCTTTTAATCCCCTGAATAACTCTGAGAAGTAGGTATTTTCCCTGGCCCCTCCTTTTTCCAGATTAGTAATCATTCGGGGATGATAAATAATGGCCCTGAGGTTATTTCTTAGTTTGGGTGAACTGACACAACAAAATATTATAAACGGGGTAGTTAATAAACCACAGAAGCTTACTTCTCACTATTCTGGAGTCTGAATGTCCAAGATCCAGGGGAGGTAGCTTTAATTTTGGCGAGGCTGTGTTCTGGTGCATAAACCCCAACTTCCGGCTGGGGCCAGAGGAGAGGGGAGGAGCTAGATATCTCCCCGATGACTCTTTTGTAAGGGCACCAATCCCCTTCAGGTCTCAAGACCTCATCATTCCGAAAAGACCCCTACTCCTAATACACTGCCTCGGGGGCTAGGTACTGAGGGGGTTAGGATTTTAACAGATAAACAAGGGGTAGAAACCTTCAGATGATAACATGATATTAGGCTAGTAAGTGGAGCAGGCAGGGTTAGAACAATGATTGCAAAACCTCTCAAAATTCAAGACCTTTTCTTTCTAGGGCCTGGAGAGAAAAAGGTGAAGGCAACAGTGGAGATGGAGGTGACTGCAAACAGGCAAACGTCCCTCACTGGGCGATGCATCTCCTGTCCAGTCGCCAGGATCAAGCCAGCCGGCCCCCACACCTAGGGAGTCCTGGGTGCTCTCGCCGAACCCTTCTAGTAGCTTGGAAGTGGTAACCTCGGGGCGACTTTTGTTTGGTACAACTTAGCAGACAAGAAGGAAGCAAGTGGGTAATGTAGGTGTCTTTGCTTTTTAGGCTCTGGCTTTCTGAGATCAGAAGAGTGGGTTCCCTTACGGGGGTGGTGAGGCGCAAGGAGAAGCATCAGAGCAGACTCTCTGCGGGTGTGTGCGTGTTGGCGCGCCTGTGCGTGGAGGGGAGATCGTCGTACCCAGCTCGAGGCACTGGGGAGGAGGAAGCGGCCGCCGAGATCTGAATAATTGATTCTTCAGCCGCACCAGACGCCCGGGAGCTGGCAGAGAGCGCGGTTCCAGCACCACGGATAGCGGCGCGCGCCTCCGCAGCGCAACGCTCAGACACGCATCTCGGCCTGGTTCGTCGCCGGGCACTCCGGGAAGGGGTGGCCGCGCTCCGCCCCGCCGCCCGGGGACTGCGGGGTCTGCCTCAACCCGCCTCCGGGGAGGGTGGCTGCGGGCGGAAGACGCTCTCGCCCGCCGGAGCTCCAAGCGTCTTCGGCTTGCGTGGGGGCCGCTGCGTCTCGCTGGCTAAGGACAAGTCCCTAAGTTGGCTTGGTGGCTCCTCGTCTTCCTCTTTCTCTTCTTCGGAGGCTACCGCGGCAGAAGCACGCCCCAGGAACCTCTGCCGGTGCAGTGAGCCCGGGCCGCCAGCGCTCTCTGGACGCCTGCGGGGAAGTGGGGAACTGAACGCCCAGTGCGGAGCCGGCCCCACGGCCCAGGGCCCCGAGGGAGCTGCCGTTCCCACTCGCGCCTCTCTCGGCCGGGGACAGCGGGGATCCCTGGCCCCACGCGCGCGCGCGCTCCCACACTCACACTCGCACGCACACTCGCCCTCACGCACACAGCCCGAAGCGGGGCTGCGGAGAAGGTGCGCGGGCGCGCTCAGGGGACGGGGCAGCTGCCGTCCGGAGTGGGGCAGGAGCCTGAGACTCTGAGAGCTTGGCCGAGAGTTACGGCCGCGGCCATCGGCCCTGGAGATGACCGGGAGCGGCCACCGCTGAGAACTATGTGGAGGGAGGCCGCGGTGAGTGGTGGCGCGGGGCGCGGAGCCGGGAGGCCCTCGGGAAGGGGCGGCAGGACCGCCAGAGGGTCGCTGCGTGGGAGTGATCGCACCTCCCTCGGGGATCCGGGACCGCGGGAGCCCGCGCCCTTCCCTCCCCCTCTCCTCCTGCCAGCTCGTCGGAAACTCAGCCAGCGCCCCCTCCTTCCCTCCTCTTCTCTCTCTACCCCCCCTCGTACAGCAGCTCCTGGACGCAAAACTCCCAGCAGCCGGCGCTGGGGAGGGGGTAGGGGGTGAGGGTGGAGGTGCCCAGTTAGCTTCTCGTGGGTGGCCAGCCCGGAGCTCCCATTCTCCTATGAGCCCCTGAGCAGAGCTCGGCCATCCGCCCCGGGACTGAGGGTCCGCACCGAGGGCGTCTGGGCACGGAGCTCAGCTCCCCCTCTACGAAGGAGCCCCCAGGCGCATAGGGGGGCTGTGAGCACTGCAGACTGCAGCCTTCTCCCCAACCCCCCTTTCCCGCGCCGGTGGGCTGACCCTGCCACTCCATCTCTCCTCCGCCCTGGTAGAGCCCTGCTGCAGAGCCTCCGGCTGGGATAGCCGCCCCCCGTGGGGGCGATGCGGACAGCGCGGGACAGCCAGGGGAGCGCGAGGGGGCCGCAGCATGCGGGAACCCGCTAAGCCCGGAGGCTGCTGAGGCGGCCGAGATGCTCGTGCGCGCAGCGCGCCCCACTGCATCCTCGACCTTCTCCGGCTACAGGTACGTCCCAGCGGGAGATATTGGCTGGGTGGGCCCGGGAGGAGAGAGACGAGCGGAGGGAGAGCGGGAGAGGGATCGGGTGGGAGGAAGCGAGAAAGCGGGAGAGACAGACCAGCAGCGGGGCTCAGGAGGGGCGCCAGGGGGCGCTGCGGTTCCGCACTCCGCGATGCTCACCCGAAGAACGCCAAGGCCGGTGCGAGTTCGCCTCAACTTCCCTAGGCTCCAACAGGCCGGGCCGGAGGGGCGCGCGCCTGGACACGCGTGCACGACCGTGCTGGTATTCGCAGGCAAGCGCGGCTGCACACTTGGCGCGGTACAGGTGTGTGCAGCGTTTGAGGACGCGTGAGGACTCCAAATGGCCGTGGGCATCTCCACGCGTGTCCGTGAGCGTGTGCAGCTTACTGCCCACGTGCGACTAAGATCTGGCAAGAGGGTTCTCAGTGGAAAGGTCAGGGAGGGGCTGCACAGTCCGCGTCTGTCTGAGAGCTTCTCGGAGCCTACCTTTCTCCCAACTCGCGCTCTTGGGCAGCTCCCACGCTCTGGCCCGCGGGGGGAAGCGCCTACTCTTCAGAATTCTGCATTGCACACGGCGCGCGTGAGAGAGGTGTGTGTGCGCGCGCGTGAGCGCTCGCGAGTGTGTAGGGGGCGGGTCCTGGGGCGGCCTGCAGGTGAGCGCAAACCTCCTCAGGGCCCCTCTGCGGGAGGTGGGGCGGGGCGCGAGGTATCCAAGGAGCCTCAGAGCCCGGACCCTCACTCAGGCGCGCTCACTTCCACGCTCTTGGGATGTAAGGCGCCAGGAGAGAAGCGGGTCTGTGGCCACGCGTGGACCGAGGTCTGTGGCGCAACCGGGGGGCTCGCAGGGGGTGGGGTCAGTTAACTAGCTCAGCGCGCCAGCCGGCAGCGGCGAGCGGCGAGCGGCGCAGCCTCCGCACGCCCGGGCTGGTCTGTAATTCGCTCCGAGAGAGCAGGGGGCGGGGTCCGTAACTTGGTCCGCACCGCCCTGGGGGAAGAGGGGAGAACAGAGGGTTTACTCCTTGCAGCCACGGGCTGGGTGGGCTCCATGGCGCTCTTGGCGCTCGGGGGCTGTGGTTTGCAGCTAACTTGGAGGGCGCGGTGGGGGAAGTGGGCAGAATCGGGAATGGGGAAGCGGCTGGGGATCGGGGACCCGGAGAGGCAGGAGGCGAGACTGGGCTGGGGGACAGAGGTGGAGAGTTTGCTCGCGTTAGCGTTGGAGGCAGAGTCGGAGATGGGTCGAGGGAGGGATGTAGATGGCGTCGCGGATGAGGAAGGGAGACAGTGACCCCCGCAACCGGCGCTGGGGCTGGGTTGGGTACCTGGTCCGGCGCGGGGTCGTAATCCAGCGCGCCCCTCGCTCACGCCGCCCTGCCTCTCGCTTTCCACCCTGCAGGGACCGTAAGTGGCGACTATGGGAAGACTGGGCTATTGGACTTGGCTGGTGCTGCCGGCCCTACTGGTCTGGCGCGGCCCGGCGCGGTGCGCGGCGGCGGAGAAGGGTCCCCCCGCGCTGAACATTGCGGTGCTACTGGGTCACAGCCACGACGTGACGGAGCGCGAGCTTCGAAACTTGTGGGGCCCGGAGCAGTCGGCGGGGCTGCCCCTGGACGTGAACGTGGTAGCGCTGCTCATGAACCGCACCGACCCCAAGAGCCTCATCACGCACGTGTGTGACCTCATGTCTGGGGCACGCATCCACGGCTTGGTGTTTGGGGACGACACTGACCAGGAGGCTGTGGCCCAGATGCTGGATTTTATCTCTTCGCAGACTTTCATCCCCATCTTGGGCATCCACGGGGGCTCATCCATGATCATGGCTGATAAGGTAAGGCTAGGAGGGGGCGGGCTGCACGGATCCCAGAGGAATCACTGCCGGTTCTCGGGCTCCCCTGGGATCTGTCTTGATCTGAAGGTCGGAGGACTTGTGGCCTCTGGCTCTAGTGAGACCCAGGCCTGGCTTCTCCAACCGGAAATGGAAGGAGATGCCCTTGCCTGGATTCTGAGAGTGCCAGGAAGAACGTGGAAAGGGGTGGTGGTGGTGATGGCAGTGGAACGCTTGATTTCCAAGCAGTGCCCATTGGAGAGCTGGGAGCGTGTGGGATAATATGGTTCATATTCCTGTAATAGTGGTTTTACCTGATTCTTTGGAGAAAAAGTCCATTTATTTCCTTTTTATGGTAAGTGGCTAGAACTGTTTTTAAAAATATTAAAGGTGGGTATATTGTGAGATACAAATGTGAAGTTTTTAGGTAAAGGACAGAAAAATGTTAAGGTTCCCCGGAATCTGTGCAGCAAGAGATAAAGAGGTGGGAAGCCCAAGGAACCTTGGGTAGAAAAGCACAGGTTAAACCCTTCCTCTAGGAGTGGAGGGCAGATATCTCCAGGCCCAGACCATGGAGGGCCTGACATTTTTCTTACGCAGCCTTTGTGTGAGCCGGCAGGGACTCCAAGACCTCCAGATGGAGGAGTTGACTCCCAAAGATGGATCTTGGTCTGCAAGTTGTTCAAAATGAGGAAAATGTGCTCAAGTCTCTTAACGTTTGATGATAGAAAAAGAGTTTTTGTGGCTGTCCAGAGAGCCGTGGGTTAGAGAAGGCTGGGAAGAAATTTGATAGCTTGAGTGAAATGTCCTAAGGGCCAGGTTGGGAGCTGGGCTGAAGTGGAAGACTGGAACAAGATCCAAGGGAGAAGTGAAGTGAGGAAAGGGAAAAAAGGGGAAGGAGTGGAGTTGTGGCTACACTGTAACTCCGTGTAAGCCCCAGGAAAGATCAGGGGGTTGAAAGGGGAGGAAAGCATGAGTGTACATGTGTGTGCTGGTCTCTGCCTGGAGACTTTCTTGGAGGGTGTTGCTTAGATAGCAGGAGACATCCTAGTAGAGCATGCGGACATTCGTTACAGCACTTTCCTTTTGACGCTCTCAAAGTACTTTTGTATTTATCAAACCCTATTCTGGCTCTGCTCAGCACTTCCCACTGGCTCCTTTGGGAACTGTATTAATTCTTTCAGGTCTCCTGGGCTGCAGCACATTCAGCTGAAACACACAACTGATGCAGTATCTCATTAAACATTCATTTAAAATGGTTTGCCACCTAGCAGAATCCTGATGAGTGGCTGAGTATTTTCTCTCAATGTTGGGGGGCTCCTTTCTGTAATACAGAGTAGGGAATCAGCTCAGCTGATTCGAAGAGGCCATTTCAAAACTGAACGGGGCCTTCGGGAGCATCTGGTAACTTTTAGATGAAGTTAAGATACTTGACTAAGACCACACAGTAGGTGATAGAGTTAGATATCTGGATTTCTGGACCCAGGCTGTGATCTTACATTCCACCAAGTCAAGCCTGTCCTTTAATTTTGTCATAACATCCTTAAGAGAGACAAGAAATCAATCTCATTATAAAGAAGATACTGAGCTATGGAGAGGTACAGTGAATCACAGTCTAGAGGGAGGAGCCAGGAGATGGCAAGAGGAAGACAAGAAAGGACCTTTCCAGGGAAAACAATATTAGACAGAGATTTGAGATGCTGGAGAGAGGAGAAAGAAGGAGCTCTCTGGCTCAAACATGGTGAAGGGGAATTGAATACTTGCCATTGTTGTTGCTGTCGTTAGAGTTGGTCTTGGAGAGATTGCCCCCACTCTGTAATTCTGGTAGAACTGTAGGAAGTTAATGTGAGGGGGCAGGGCATTAAAGAAGTCAAAGGAGACAATGTTAGGGGCGTATGCTGGGTCCATGTATGGGATAGGCAGGTGGTACTGCGAGTAGTTAGTTTAAAGGGTGGTATTTTGAGAAACCCAAATGTTTCTCAGAAGAAATTGTCTGAAGTGGGACCTACTCTTTCTTCTATCTACTGGGCTTTTGCCTGTACCACCTGTCTGGTTTAGGGCTGAACACTTGGTGAAGTTTGTTTGGCTCCAAAGACGCAGTTGTGTGATGCTGCCTAAAACTCTGCCTAGCACGGCTGTGCCAGCCGCGTTATGACCACAAAGTCTCAACCTCCCTGACCTGAGAAGCCCCTTTGGCCTCCTCCTAGGATGACTTTGACTGGGTAAGATTGCCTAGAGCATCCCTGTGTTGTTTTTACTTCTAAATTGGCAACAGGATAATGCTCATGTAGATAAGAATGGCAGTTAATTTGATTATCAGTGAAAGTGAACACACATACAGCCTACATTTTTCACCTTTCCCGTGGCCTGTATGGCCCTGGAAGTAAAGCCTTATAGTGATTGAAATGGTGTTAAGTGGCAGATTGTTTTTTTAGCATCAATTTAATTTACAATAGAGGCATCCATTTTTACTTGCATCAATGTGTGGTCTTATAATAAAATTGGTTAATATAATGCTTGATGTAGACAAAGTTCTGATCTTATCTGGGTCTGGCCATTTTGTCTCTGTTCAATTAAAGTAAACGCTAGCTTCAGTAATAGTCCCCAGTAAATCCAGCGAATGGACTAGGCCTTGACATTCTGCTGAGGGTCCTGTCACACCCTCTCCCTCTCCCGGCCCGCTTCACGGTGGAAGAGGCAAGGCTATGTCTACCCATGACAGTCTCTGCTCTGGCTTTGGTTTATGTGTTAATTCTACACATATCCCATCTCCTCTACGAGAGTGAAAGTCCATTGAGGGCAGGTTGTTTTTTTCTTTTTGAGTGTGTTAATGGATATATGTATATTTGACATAATGACTGCTGCTCCTTCACGGACACTTTATAAAAATGATGTCTTTTCATTTTAGGGAACTTGAAAAAGTATATTAAAGCTTATGGAACAAAATGAAAATCTTGCTCCAAATTCTATCGCCAGGAGTAACCACAGCTGACATTTTGGTGTATTTCCTTCTAAGCTCTATTGAGTTACAAGTTGAGGACTGTATTATATATATGGTTTTGCTTATTGTACTTTGTATTCTGTAGGTTGCTTAGTCAAAAGACTCAGGCTTTTCTTTAACTCTGGAAAAATCTCAGCCACAATCTCTAGTCTTTCCTTCTGTATGTATATATTTATACACTCAACCAAGTCTCCATTTAGCCTAACTTAAATTTTTTTCAGCTCTCTTTGTCTCTGAGCTTTGTTTGAGGAGATTTTTCTCAATTCTGTACTCCTGTTAACTACCTTGCTTCATTTGTGGCTGGTCTGTTGATTTGTTTATCTGTTGAGCTTTTAATTTCAACAATGATGTACTTTATTTCTAAGGCTTGCAATTGGTCCCCCTTCCCGTTTTTTTTTCTAATAAATGATTTAATGAACAATTCTTCTCACTTTGTGGATGTAAAGCCTTACTCTGACCTTTCAAGGAATTAAATTATACTTAGTATTATACCTGTCTCCAATTGCTCTTGCATCTTGGTGAAGATTCAATTGTAAATTCAATTATAAATTCTTCCAGTTGTAGAGTCTGTTAATTTGAGTCTTCATGTATTCTCTAGTTTTTGTCTGTGAACTTATCTTCAGGGCCACTTTAGACATTCTTCTGCTGGCACCTGTAGGATGTGTGCTTTTAAATCATAGCTCATGCCGCTAGTTCAGTTCAGAGCTTTCCTCCTGCTCTGTGCAGCAGAAGGCCCATGCTCAGGCCACAGTTTCTTGTTGGTGACTTCATGTTGCCTCTTTGATACACACAGAGGCCTCCTTTTGGGCTGTACTTTAGTGGGTGGTACAGAAGTCCCAGCGCATTCACAGCTAGCAGCATGATTTCACTGTGCTCTGTTCCCTTTCCCCTGGGGGTGTTGACATCTGATTCCCATGGTTCATATTAGACTCATCCCCACATGGATCATGTGGCTTTGATTCCTATTCACAGTTGTAGAGACTCATCTGTTTTATTTTATTTTTTTGTGTTGTTGGGGATTGAACCTAGGGCCTCATGCATGCTAAGCATATGCTTTACTGCTGAGCCACACCCCTGGCCTGAGTCTCAGGATTTGATACGTTTTTAGGGAGTCCTCTATATTCTGATCTGTGATTCTCTTGTCTTATTTCCAAGCAATACTATGTAAACTTTAAAATAACTGAAGCATTCTATATAAATTCTATGTCTTAGGAGCGAAGGAGAGCGTTACTGAATGTGTTCACTCTGATTTTCAGCCAGTTTTATTTCCCAACCTGCTTTCACGTTTTTAAAACTTGATTATATATTCTTGGAATTTTCCCTTACCATTAAATAGATTTCTCAGACTTGATTCTAAATGGCTACAGAGTGTTCTGTTTATACCACAATCATTTTAACTAATCCTCTATTTTTCCACTTCTAGTGAGAGTCATTTCGGGTTCCTATATGTGTCCTTTTTGGTGCTCTGCATTGGTCTTGCGCCTTGTGTTTGTTACTTGGTAATTGTTTGTTGATCAAATGACTCCAGTCATTGGTTCCCATGCCAGCTTACTGCAGCTTCCGGACAAACATATCACAGTGAGTGTGGTTGAAGGCATTCCATGCAGAATTTGTCCCCTAAATGCTGTGTGATTTCATACATATGTTTGCCAAGTCTCCTTTTCTTTCCAGGGGAGATAATCACCAGCCATCCTAGGGATTACTGTGAATTGGGGTAAGGCATAAAAGACTCATGGAGCACTGCTGAGTAACAGATCATCCGCAGGAGGTGGAAGTTGGTGTTCTTGTCACCTGGCAGCTCCAGAACTGGGGCGTGGGTGATGAACCTTCCTGTTAACACTGAAAGCTCATAGAAAGGGCAGACACCCAGATCTCAGTGTGGGTAGGAGCCCACTTAGCTCCTGATAAAGGGTGCCAGGTAGCTCCTGGGAGATGGGGAGGCCTATCTTTAGCCCTTTGATGAGACATGTCAGTTGCAATCATCCACTCCCCCTCAAGTAAG